CCCCCCCCCCTTTTTTTTTTATTTTTCAATACTTGTTGATTCTGTTTATGGTTCAAATTTGTATTTATTATATGAGAAATATTTGGTGGGTTATTTCTTCTGTTTATTATTGGTTAGATATATCTGTTTCTTTTACTTTTTTTTTGAGCAAAGAATTAATGAAAAAGTTGTAGTTAAGCACCTTTAAGTGTAAAGATCATATCTTTTCAGTTTTCGGTGAACTGGGTAAGTGTTGTTTTTTTTATTAATTTTACTCGATGATCAGAGACGGAGCTAGGATTTGAACCTTATGGGACCGAGTTCTAAATTAATAATTGTACATATTCATTGGATTTCTTAATACAAATATAGGGTTTGAATAAAAGCTATTGGGTTTGGCCGGACCAGCAACAAACACTATGGCTCCGCCCCTGTCGATGATTCTATTTATTTCTAAAGTTTTGTTCTTTATTATATGAGAAATGTTTGATGGGTTATTTCTTCAATTTTCTACGTGTTAGATATATCTGTTTCTTCCTTTTTTTTTGGAGCAAAGAATGAATGAAAAACGGTAGTTAGACATCTTTATGTGTAAAGATCATATCTTTTCAGTTTTTGGTGAACTGGGCAAGTGTTATAATAGAGATTCAGACACTTGAATAAATAACTTCCATTTTCTTTTTTTATTTTTCAATTTACTTGTTGATTCTATTTATACCTCAAATTTTGTTCTTGTTATATTAGAAATGCTTTATGGGTTATATATTCTATTTATTATGTGTTGGACATAGCCCTTCCTTTTTGATATGGGCAAAGAATGAATGAAAATGCTGTAGCTAGGCACCTTTAAGTGTAAAGATCATTTCTTTTCAGTTGTTAGTGGACTGGGTAATTGTTATAGTAGATACCCTTTAACAAATAACCTCCAGTTACTTGGATTTAGCTGAAAAAGGAGAAAGATCAGCTCTAATTTTTGATTAACTGGGTTCTTGGTGAACAGTCTGGGTTTATGCTATATAGAGGCATTTTAACAAGTAATTTCAATTTTTTGACACATCCAATGGATCATATGCAATGGTTATAGCCAAGTCTACTAGAGTATTTTGAAGCCCCCTAAATACTGTGTATCCAAATTCCAGGCTCCTAGGCAGCCCTGTCTTTCTTGGCTGAGTTGTAGACAGTATACAGTTGGTAATAAGTGACAGTGCTGATTTGGTTCTCTATAATTTTTTTTTTGATGAAGTAAGTAGAATATATCATAAAAGGCATCAAGAAGATGCAAAAAGTTACAAAAGAAGTGAGTTTGACAGCTCATTTACAATTAAGTGCTATAAAACTAGAGAGCTGACAAAGTCCTTGAAAACATCAGAGTTATTTACAGTAGTAATGCCCAGTGAAACAAGTTAACCAAACATCTAGCCTTGAAGCAGCCTATTGAAGTTGATAATCCATCAAAACATCTGCTATTCCTTTCGACCCAAATACACCAAAAAATGCTTGCAGGTACCATATTCCAGACTTTCTTGATGGTTCTGTCAACTTCCCTTGAGCTCCAGCTCACATAGGCATCTCTAGCAGAGAATGGCATAGTCCAGTGTAGACCAAAAATACTGAGAAACATGTTCCATATGTCTGTGGCTACTGAACAGTGGAGGAAAAGATGGTTAACAGATTCTGACTTCACTTGGCACATGTAACACTTGTTGGCCAGCTGAAAGTTTCTTCTGGTGAGGTTGTCTTGGGTGAGGCAGGCATCCTTTAAGGCCAACCAGCTGAAGCAGCAGACTTTGGCTGGCAGTTTTGTCTTCCATACTAGTTTCCAGGGCCATAAATCAATCATCATATTGTTGGAGCACATTTTAGCATACCCTGCCCTGATTTGGTTCTCTATAATTTTCCAAAATCTCTTTATTTTTGCTGATTGGTAATCCTGTGATAGGGAGGTTTGAGGTTTTAGAACTTGGAATCTGTTCTGACTTCTTTGAGGCATGTCTGAAGAACCATTTTGACTTTGTGATGCCATCAGTGACAGATTCTTTGTTAACTACTTTGTCATATCTTCACTCTCAGCACATTTGTCTCTGTTAGAAATGATTTCAGTAGTATTTGACTCTGATGATTTCATTCTGAAAATAATGAGATCGACATTAATGTCTAGATTGAATGTTAGCAATGTATTTAATATATTAACATTGCATCTGATGCATGTATTTATTTGTAGGTGCTGTTTATGGGACTTATGAGGCTATTAGATACAGGGTAAAGCTCTCTCTCTCTCTCTCTCTCTCTCTCTCTCTCTTTTTGATCCGATGATAACAAATTACTATTAATGCCTTTGTTATGTCATTGTTGAATTTATGGCAGAGATGGATCTTTTAGATTTATTATTAAGATGCTGAAAATATGACAAGTAAAGCATACAGGCTTGGTATCTCTTTTTTTATTGGCATCCGTTGGTAATTTCCTCTAATGTCATTTCTGGAAAGTTGCAAGATTTAACACATTACAGAAAGATCAGAAGTAATTCTGGTAAATTAGAGAGGGATCTGGTATGAACATTTTCGCGAGCATAAAGTTACTGTCACAGTATAGAAGAAAAACCACTGATTTCTTTCCATCTACCTAAGTTTTGGAGGGAGAACTATTTATTGCTTATGCTGGTGGGAAGTAACAGGTAGTCGGTGGATAGTCGAGGTGCACATGGTTTGGCCCGGATATTGCCATTTTGGAAAAAAGTTATAGACTTTTATTTTGGAAAAAAGTGTTGCTGCTAAATGCAATTTGCTTCGACGTATTAGCCTAATGATATCAGTTAACTTTAATGGAAATTGCAGGTGCCTGGTCTTATGAAAATCAGATACATTGGACAAACAACTTTGGGCAGTGCAGCCATTTTTGGTCTCTTCTTGGGTGCTGGGAGCTTGATACACTGTGGAAAGTCTTACTAAGCATATCTTTGCTAGCTGCAGTTAAACTTTTTGATTACCCGAGTCGTTATCAGACTAGTGTGCCTGTGTAATTCCTATATTTTTTTGTGTATTTCAGTTAAGTTATGATGCTTGAATTGGTGATTCAAAATTGAGCTTTTCTCTAACATTTCTGCTGCAGTTTATGGCTCAGTTGGTAGGCCATGGTGTAACCTCGTTCCCCTCTTTCCATCATTTAACAATAATCATCAAAAAAAGAGAAGGGAAAAAGTTTTATAGCGTGTTCGAATGGTAACTCCGGATTTGCAGTTTGAGACATTTTCACTGTTGTTTCCTTTTAAATGATTATATTGACATATGTTGAGAGAGCAGCTTAAACGTTACACATTTTAACTTTGCTTATATTTGCGTTTTTCATTTACTCAAGTCAAGCGCCAACGTTGCTTCTAAACATAATTTATACTGATAGCAATCTCTCATGATAATTCAAATCCGTGATACTGCGATCTAGTGGTGGCAAAATGGATAAAAAATTCAGTTATCCATTCATATTATCCGTTAAAAAGAGGGTTGGTTAATGAACTTTTTAAAAATGGATCAAATATGGATAAAGTTTATATTATCCACTTTAAAAAATGGATAACCAATGGATTTAACTTTTACACTTGCAAAGACTCAAATTGGGAATTACTCAAGTTTAGGAGAGTAAGAATTATCTGGAAGTGATCATATTCAAGAAGCCATGAAAAATATAGATATCCATATTATCCATCGGTTAACCCATTTTTTTAATCCATATTAGATATGGGTCGGGTCAGATATTTTATTCATTTTCGACCCACTCATATCTGTCCCCGATCCGCCCGTTTGCCACCCCTACTGTGATCCGAATTGCGAGTTGTGTCTTGAATTTTAACTTCTTTATAGCGAAAATGTCTCCGCATGGACCGGTAAGTTTCTCTCTTTACGTGAAACATAATTTGCAGGCATGTTATCTTTTTCCCAAATTGTATCTTCGTGGATGTCTTGGTCTGAATCTCCTCAAAATTGTCCTTTCTTTGCTTAATATAAATAGTCAAATCGGTATCCCATGAAATTAGTCGAGGTGCGCTCAAGTTGACCGAGACACCGGGGTTAATAAAGATAAATAATGAAAATATCTGCATGCTTCAACTAGCTGAGAGGAAGAGAGACAAACAAGTACTAAGTAGGGTTACTAGTTAGAGTTATGCAAGTATTAGTTATGACTTATGTAGGGATTAATTATGAAGGGATTAGTTACGCAAGGACTAGTAATGCATAGATTAGTAATTTATGGATTGTAATGTAGATATTATTTCTTGTTAAATGTTTAATTTATTTTAATTATACAATGTGTAATTTAAAACAAATATGAGGGGGTTTTGGTCATTTGATTGTTTAATCCATGTAAAACCAATACATGTACATTCTAAATAATACATAACTTTTGTATAAAGTAACTAAAGGTTACCAAACATGGTATTAGTTATGTTTCCCCTAATACATGAATAGCTTACCCTGTAATCAGCAACCAAACGACCCCTAATTGCATAAGCAAAGCCACTTGCAACAAAAATGGAATGTAAAAAGAGGGTAGGGATTTGAAATCAGAAGATGCATTTACTAGAGAAATTTACAAGGAAGCTACTCTCAATAAGAGCAAGCAGTTAAAACTTTACATCTCTCACCCTCAATTCCCCACAAACACCATTATGGAGGGGGGAAATGGAAAAAGGAAAAATAACAGGTCAAGCCATAAGAAGAAGATGAAAAATCTAATGAAAACTTAGAAGCAAACCTCTAATCCTAGTTCTTTTTTATGACAACCCCTGATACCACCCCACAGATTTGAGAAGCCAAACTAAGCGATGAATATGAACTTCCCCGTAAAGCAGAGATTTTTCCGACAGGGAAGAAGAAAAAGAAGAGGTCAAGAAAAGAAAAAATCACTTACAAATTTATTAGCATGTTTCAATGTGGTAAGTCCTCGCTTACACTGCCAACACTTGACTTGTCCCCCATGCGGACGTTATACTGCTCATAAACTCTTGCGCGGTTCTCTGCCCACCACTGTTCAGCTTGTTTCTCGCTAAATCGTTTTCGACTGCATTTTAGGACACATCAGTCTTTTGATTCCAACGGAAAAGTGGCTATATGAAACTTAAAGCATTCACACACAGAATGTCATTGTAATCAACCAACCAATTGTTTTTAAGCAAACAAACAAAACATTTTTCTTTGTGCAGGATTCTGAAATGAATTCTCAATCAATCAACTATGCCTCAATCCTAAACTATGTGGGTCGGCTATATGAATCGTATGCATTCTACTTTAGTTAGACTAATATCACTCTGATGCTAAATAATTTCCATTTTAAGGAAAATTAGGGATCATCTAGAACTAGAACTTCTCTAAGATCTCAAGCTTATTCCTACATGGGTAACAAATCTCTACTGGAGATGAATCCAATGTACAGCAACTATGCCTCTGTACCAAGGAAGTTGGGTTCGATATGAATCCTTAGTGACCATGCCGTTCCGTTTATGATGTCTAAATGGTAAAACGAAGTTTTGACAACCAACATAGAAGCATGTAGTCAACAACTACATGCAAAAGAACTAAATGCATGAAGGATCTTTTGCGTCAAACTAAAATATCCTTTTTTTGAAAAATTAGGAAATCAGTCCAAGGACAGGAGCGATTCCTAATGAGGATATTTTTCTCATTTCTACTAAAGAGAGATGGATCACTTTAACAGAGAGATAGCATGGCCAGGCTCAAACCATATTCCTTGAAATGTGCTCAGAGAAATTGAAAAGTAACTACCCGCAGAAATAACATAATGAATAATTACAGGAGATCATTTATTTTGACAAGAATAATGCAGAGGATTAATTCCATCAAATTTGGTGACCTTAAGCCATAGTTAGCGTACCTGAAGCGAACACGTTTAAGATCTTTGACACCTCCAGGTAGGGAGGTAAGTGTAATATATACACCTGGTTCATCTTGTTCGACCCATTCATTCTCATTACGAGAATCACCTTCTTTTGTTCTGGCCCCATTTCTTGGGGTTGGTTCTGGAAACCCTTGTCTGTTTTGAACAGCATTGCGATTACTGGCATTGCTTGATCCGTTAGAAAGTAGTTGGCTGTTAGATACATTTGACTCCACATCTTGGAAAGTTAGTTGACTATGAATTCGGTCAATACAGCCATTTGGTATATCACCGGCGGTAAGATTGGAAGCCAAGGAAAAAGATGTAGGAGATTTGATGTTCCGGGAAGCACCTACTGGTAACCTCTCAGCCATCTCCTTCAGCTATGAAAGATAAAGACGACAAAACAGATTATCAGCAAAAGAAGCTAATGAAAGGCAGGTCAACAGAAAATTATGTTTTCAATAACTTTACAAATCATCTCTATCTTCAATAGAAGGGCAACAAAAATACTAAACTAAAAGGATACTGATGAGCAATCGCACATAACCTGACCACTAAGGAAAACAAGCTAAACTATGAAAAGCTTGAACTGTTAAAACAAATCCAAAAGAATGAACGGCAAATTATAAAGAAACTTTCTTTTTTCCATCTGTTGTTTTACAGACTGAGTGTCTTCATCCTTTTACACGCAAGCTATATTCCATGTGAACTTAAAAGGTTAACTGCCAACAAAAAAAGTAGAATTGCAATTTTGTCACGTATAAAATTTGGGTCCACTTAACTTTTGCAGGTATACAAAAAATGTTGGAACTCGGATTTCATGAAGCTAGACATTGGTACGAAAGAAATCCCAATAGTTTTGGGAGAGAAATAAATGACATTCTATTTGAAAAGGATGAAGTAGATTGTTAATCGAATACGATTGTTGAACCAAAATCACACGCAATTACTTTGACATAACAAAAAGACAATTCCGAGATGCATATTCGAGAAATGCCATAAGATTAAAGTAGTCATTTTACAAAAACTTATGACCTAAAGACACAAAAGATAAAGTATGCATTATTAAGTGTTTTAGCACAACTGATAACACGATGACAAAAGAAAATGCACACTCGCATCTAGACCAAAACAGAGAGATACTCTGAGTAATGACAACCACATACTTCGTTGGTCAGAAATTAATTTGTGTCTATATCAAACGACTGCATAAAAATCATAGACCTATATGTATATGTATCTCAATGTTGTTAGACCATCTTACTTGAAAGTCTGTTTAATAAATTAAGCAGTAATAATTTATTAGAGTAAATGAAAGCTTTATTTTCCTAATCCAGCTTTAGATTTTTTTAAGTGGAACACATTCTTATTTATAAGAGTTGCCGCATTTCATGAAGTCAAAACAGAAACAATTTGTGCTGGGAAACTTATTCCGAAGACAGGCATATATTTCATCATAAGCATGCGCAACTTTTTGACATAAAAACTAAAGCAGCTTACCTGAGCAGTAAGTGACTTGATAACTTCTTTTGCTGCTTTGCATTTGGCAGTCTCTTCTCCAGCAATGGCTATTGCCTCCTTTAGCTGCTTACCAGATCTTTCCAGTTCTATCTCTTGAAGTTGAGCCTTGCGCGTGAGATTTTCCACCTATGATGAAGATCGTTCAACACAGTGCTTTTTCTAATGAATAATTCATTCATTTGATTCGGATGATTCAATTTTTAAAAAATCGTGATGCTTAATACAGACAATTTAGATCCTAGTCTCACACTTACATGAGAATGGCACTATATATAAGATGTAACACAGCATTAAAAAGGACGCCTGAAATGGAAAGTGCGATAATGCCATGGACAGAAAGATAACTAAAAGGTGAACAGTAAGTTTTATAGGATGGTTGAGACATGCATATATCTAGGAGTAAATATTGAGGCTTAAAGCCCAACATATCCATGGATGACTGCCATAAGTATGCAAGATATTAAGATGAATACGGACAAGAATATGCAAGATATTAGACTGAATAAGGACAAGAATACAAAAATTCATCTCTATTTTTAAAAACAGAGAAGATTACAAATGATCTTATCCAACCAAAGAGGTAAGTAGCACAATTGAAGGACCAAATGGAAAAAAAGGTCCCCACACAGCTGATTTGCCTAAAAAGGCAAATTGTCCGGTATTGGAATGTAATAAATCAGAATAGAACAAAATGGATATAGAAGATTCACTAGCCGACTCCACTTGGATTCGGATTGAAACGTAGATGATTGGTTGATATTTATCCGAACCTAAAATCTCTACATACAAGATGTACTTAAGCAAGACTGGAGGACATCATAAAGTACATGGTACTATACAAAAGGGCATTTGATCGGGAGATTAAACTCAGTCAAAACAGGAGGAGATCATTGATGGACTATAATTCATAACTTTCCCGCAGGCTTACATTTTTAGTGTAAGCAATTGCATTTCATATGGGGATAAGCCTTGATCTGGTAGATGACTCAATTATTCCCTTCTTGCCCCCCCTGCCTCTTCCTCCCAGAACACACAAAAAGACAAAGAGGAAAGCAGAAAGGTAAAAAAGAAACAAAGGTCTAGTGTCTATCTATACTCTAACACATGTCGATAGACCTTTTTTATCTTTCATAAGTGCATTCCATTTTGGATAGACTTGTAAATAGAATTCATTTAAAAACTTCAATATCTCCTTATATTCATTATTTGACCTTATTAATTAATACGAAAGCTTCATTATTTAGACATCATGCACCTATTATCATTCTTAAAGCCAAATTAATTACATTCTTACGTGGTGTTGGCCTAGAGACCCTAACTTTTCTTTTTCTGGAGTTCCTATTCTTGTTCTTTTTTCCAAATTAAAAGATGAAATAAATAACTCAGTTTCGTAGTTACATGATGTTGGCCCAAAGACCCCAAATTTGCTTCCTATGGAAATCCCTTTTCGTTCTTTCTTTGAAAAAGTAAAAATAAGGTAAAATATTAAGTCAAAATTAACGCGAGTATTTTCTCCTTCCAAAGCAAAGCCAAACATCCATTGATAAACCCATCCTTCCACAACTTAAAAAGGCAAAAAAAACTTCACCATTTCATTTTACAGTGACATAATAAAAACAGAAAAAACTAATTTTGATTGTTATAAAATTAATAAATTTACTTTCAAAGTTTTCAAGTTTTTTTCCCAATTTCCACAAGAAACATTTCAAAATATACACTTCCTCGCTTTTCCAAATCTTTGAATTGATTTTGTACGAATTATCATGGGATATATATGCAGTGCACGTAAATAAAAACTAGTAGAATAAAATGCATATCTATTACATTGTAAATGATGTGCTTGAGAAATCATATTAAGATCTTGATGCAAGATATTGCACCTTTTTCCGTTTCGGAATAGGAAAGAGACAGGTTTTCTTTACTTAACCTTTTTTGTATTCTAAAACATACAGGAATGAGAAACACTTTCTTTTATGTCTTTTTTAGTTTACTATTTTTGTTTTTTTGGATAGCGAGTTTCTTTTTTAGTTTAATTACAATTGGGATGAGATATATTTCTTTAAAAAAAGCAAATGAATGAGAGACATGTTTCTGCACAAGCTAACGAATTGGCTTTACTTACTTTTTTTGGGTAGGTAAGATCTTTTATTGAACTCGTACCACGATGGTACAGAAACAGGTACATATTAGGTTTACTTACTGTATTCGACCATTCTTCACCACAATTGGCATTTACCAAATAAAGCTACTTGCCCAAATACAAGGATCTGAAGTACATTTTCTAACTCCTTTTTTTTCCTCTCACTACTACAATTATAAGTCCTAAAAGGTAGTTTCTATTATAGCGTTACTCTTTAAGGTCAAGTTGATCTGCGCAATACATGTTGCATTGATGTGAAAGAACCATGGATCCGCTGTTGGGCAAGGATGCCACAGAGATGTATTTATAGGCATCTTTGGGAAATGATCGGATGCCAGATGCCGATGAATAATCTTAGTTGTTCTATGATTTTACAGAGAAGACAAGCCTTGACAGCGACTTAAGTTTCATGCAGATACTATTTCTATGCAGGTGTGAACTTCTAAAAGGTAATCCTCCACAATCTACAATGAAGCAGATTAGTAGAGTCATTATTAAGAGTGAAGGGATTCCCACATTCAGCCATGCACTCTTGCAAATAAAGATCTATTTTAATCTCTAGATGGATTACAATTTTGATCAGTTGATTGTCCTTTAGGTTAGGTTTTTAGCCTGTCAGATACATTGAACAGGGAAAAGCAGCAACCAGGGGATCATACCACAAGATAGCGCCTAAAAGAAGATATATCAGTGACCTGGAGGCTCAAAAGATTGTTAAAAATTCAGTACAAGATGGCATATTACTAATAAGTCTCTGATTTTACCTCTCAAATAAATTCTCCGATTCACTGTCCATTTAGTTACACTATCACGTCTTATGACACTTCTAATGAACCGATCAATAAAGTAATACTTCTTATAAACTTGGATGAATTTTCTCAGCATTGTATGAAAAAATATGCTATGAATATGGTGTTCTCTAGAAACTCTAGAGGAATTCTTGCCCCACATCTCATGTTTGACACTTCACATTACAGAAAGTGTCCAAAAATTCTTAGATTAATAGAGAAGCTTAAATCTTTGTTTTTGAACTCACATCAGCCACGGATAATATGTGGAGCAAACTGAGGAAAATGCGTCCCAAGTAGATGACTGCTCCTTACACAAATACAAATGACATACCTGTGCTCTTAATTTGATAACCTCTTGGCTAAGGCCATCGTTTGTCCTTTTAGCGTCGTCCAAAACAATCTTTGGAGATGTGAGTCCACCCAATGTTGGAGTTGGCGTAGTAGAACGAGGTGGACTTGGCCGTCTAGATATTGGTGATGTTGCTCGAGAAACAATTCTTGATCCAGGAACTGAAGCTGAAAAGAATTTCTTGGACGAGCCAAATACTGGATTAAAAGACTTGGAAATGTTGAGAGCTCCCCATTGAGAGGTACCATTTGGAATAGGTGACACACGGCTGCTGTTAAATTCAAGTTTTTTCTTCTGTTTGGAAGAACGGTTTTCTACATGTTTGAAGGATTCCATTGAAGAAAATCTAGCGAGTTGAGGCCGAGACCTTGTTTCTGACTTAGTGTCCTTGTCTGTTATATCAGTTGACGCCTGATGCGTGCTTCCTCGTCGACTCATAGAAGACTGAGAAGAAGCATCGGTTTCAATAGCTTTTTTCAATTTACTGAAGCAATTGTCACAGACACGATAGGGTTTATTGGGATTCGGTGCCATTGATGCCCTCAGTGATTTCTTGCTGCTACATGAATGACAAAAGACAAGCCCACAGTTATAACAGTTGTGGCGTTTCCTTTTAAAGTTAAAAGGAAGACGACAGCCAGAACACATGGATTGGTCGACCCCTGATACCCATTTATGAAGGCAAATAGCAGCAGTAAAATTAGTACCACAAGCAATACTTTTGACTTGCTTGTCTTTTAAAGCTTCCACTAAAGTTGGAGAATTTCTGTCATCAGTATCCCCATGACCCAATCTTCCGTTTGCCCCCTTTCCCCATGTGTAAACTTCAGTTCGAGAAGTCAAGACAGCAACATGATAAGCACCACAAGCAATCTCCTCCACAAAACTCTTTGCCAGCTTGCCTTCAACACGACGGGGCAGCTTCCCATCAGCTTGGTGATGACCTAATTGCCCATATACAGGACTCCCCATTGTATATACATGACCAGAAGTCGTCAATGCAACTGTCAAGCTGTGTCCACAAGCAACCTGGCAAAAGTTTGGTTCAACAAGAGCTGCAACACAGGTAGGTACAAGTTTTGACTCCTTATCACCATGCCCAAGTCTACCTTTATCACCATCTCCCCAAGTAAAAAGTTTTCCTGATGAACAATTACTTGAACTTGAGCTTCCGACCATGACTTCAACAACCGCTGCAGTATGCCAAACCCCACAAGCTGCTCGAACAGTTCGAAGCCCCTTTAAAGACTCCACTTCCCTAGGTTTAGAAACACTTTTTCTGTCTCCATGACCAAGAACACCAAAAGTACCATCGCCGAAAGTAAATAATTGACCAGCAGAGGTCACCACAGCAGTATGCCAGGGCCCACACGAGATATAGGAAACGTGTATGCCCTCTAAGGGTCCATTTACTCTTTTGGGGACCCAATGACTAACTTCATTTCCATGCCCAAGAAGACCAAAATCACCATCACCCCATGTGTACAAATCTCCGGAGAGTGTTACGGCACAAGTATGATTCTCACCACATGCAACAAGCTCAATGTTTGAATGGCTGAGTGAATCTATAAGCTTCGGATGCAGAACATCAGAATCAATACCATGACCAAGC